GGGGCTTGAGGAGCCCTGTGGCTTTTCTTACCGTTTGAAATCCTGAGTCAGCTGGCCTCCCACATCCCACGCTTGCCCTGGGTACCATGCCATCCCTAGTGTTAGCGGAGAAGGAATGGCAATGGTACAGAGAGGCACAAAGTCTTATGTGCTGCACCAGTCCCAGGGGAGCAGAGCCCCAGATGCTGACCCAGAAACACACACACCATTACCGCCTCGGGCTTCAGTACCCTTGCTGCTTCTGTGCCCACTCAGCACATTTCACTTCTCTTTGGAAGCACGGATCAGAATCATGACACCACCATAATCTGTGAAAATCATGGACATAATGTCTGTGTCCACACGAGGCTATGAGTCTCTCGAGCACAGGGGCCATGCCTGCTGGGTCACCACAGAATAGCCAGTTCTGTCTAAGACACAGACTCATACACTCTCAGTGAGACAGCTGATTACACAAAGGAAATAATAGTCACTGATAATAACAATTTTTTTCCAAAACACTTTGTAGGAAATAAAACACTTATATGTTTGTTACATGATTTGATCCGCATAACAGACAGGGGGCCAGAGGTCTCGGTGTGCTGGAGCTGGCTGGCACCAGCTAGAGTCAGTGGTTAAACATCCAGGACTTCTTTTGCCAGCTGCTTGTTAAACTACTGGACGTGGCAGGGATATTTACACCCTGGAGATGGACAAAGACTCCAAATAAGGGCTTTGCTTTGCCAAAGAGCAGGTTCCTCAGCAAACCACTGGCAGCAAGTATGTTCAAACAGGTTCTACAAATGGGGAGACGGGGATCACTTTCAATATGGTGCCTCTGAGTGTCAGGAAGACCAAGGGAGACCCTCAAGGTCTCGGGGCCTTGCTGCATTTCCTCACGTCAGCAGGCAGTTTTTGAGTACCAACCACGTGCCAGGGTCTTCCTGCTGTGGCAAAACGTGACTGGGAAATGAGTGTTCAAGTCTAAGCAGCTCCTCATCAGAGCTCCTCTCACAGGGCAATGCCGGTACCCGCCCCAGGAGGCCCAGCAAGCTCTGGCCCCGGACCATGATTGGATCAGTACGTGTTGCTCCACCCTCATGTGGGGTCTGAGAAGGGTCCTGCTGCCACAGACCCAGCATGTGGGCTGCAGGGATGGCCCAGGGTTCCTTTTACAGAACCTGCAGCTCCTCTGCCTGAGAGCACCTCACTCAGCTTCTGAAGGGAACGGGAGCCAATTCTGAACCTCTACCCACCTCCTGGCCCCTCTCTGGGAGGGCTGGCTGCTGCACACCCTTAAGAGCCATTGAGATCACATCGTGAATGGTGAACAGTCAGCGGTTCCAGTAGGAACCGCAGGGACACTGCCCCGACCTGCAGGGACCCTGTTATGGGTTGAACTGTGGCCCCCTCTCCCCAATTTATCTGTTGAAGTCCTAACCCCCAGGACCTCAGAACGTGACCTTATCTGGTAACAGGGTTCTTGCAGATATAATTAGTTAAGTTAGGATGAGGTCACATTGCAGTAGGGTGGCCCCAGTTTAATATGACTAATGTCCATATAAAAAGGAGAAATTTGGACACAGAGATGTGCACATGGAGAATGTCATGTGAAGATGAAGCAGAGATTGGGGTGATACTTCTACAAGCCAAGGAAGGCCAAAGATGGCCAGCAAGCCACCAGAATCTGGGGGACAGGCGTGGAGCAGATTCTGCCCTCACAGCCCTCAAAAGATCCAACCCCGCTGGGCACCTCATCTCATGCTCCCAGCCTCCCGAGCTGTGAGACAATACGTTTCACTGTGTAAGCCACTCAGTCTGTGCTACTTTGGTACAGCAGCCACAGAGAACTAAGACAGGTCCCTTGCTTTGCAATCCTCCAAACTGGGCAGCGCTACATTAGAGCCTGGCTGACTAACAGTGACATTGCAGACAGACAAGGGTTAGAGCACCACCCTGGAGCCAGGTGTGGCGTCTACCAGAAGATGCGCTGGGCTTGGGGTCAGGTCAGAAGGCTGCTCCATGGTGAGCGGCAGCCCTGAAGGCCTGCGGGACTCACACAGCTGACCACAGACACTGTCTCGAGTCATGAGGCTCAGGGACTGGACCTCAGCAAGTTGCTTTATCACCAGAGCACTGGCCTCAAGCCTGCACATGTGATCCTGTTCCGCTGGCAGACAGGGGAGCAAGGTGTCACAGTGACAGAGGGGTGGAGCCATTTGGAGGGGGATAGATGGCCCATGGAAGCTGCCCCTGGAACTTGACATAGATTCGATGCCTGTGGGATTCTCGGTATCGCATTTTCCTCCATGAAAAGGAATGGTGTTTTCAGCAAACCCACAGAGAAGGAAATTTGATTCAGGAAAGGGAAGGGTCGAATATTGATTCCTAGCCACCGATCCTTGATACAAAGTTCTCATGGCCAGTGCATGGATTTAGGTGGGGCTTGTCTTTAATTGGTTCTGGATGTTCCCAGGGTAAGTAAGGCCAGGCGCAGAGCAGACACACAGCTAACACAGGTTTCCTTCCCATTGCCTTTTCTCTGCAGTCACTGAGCGCCCTCTTAGCAGACGTGGTGCTGAGCGGGGATAACTCCCTGAACTGTGGTAGGCCAGCATTCTGCATTGTCCAGCCCTCTGCCCCCATTCCCAAGTGCTGCTAGAGCCCCTGCTTCTCTGGGCTGAAGTGATGGCTGTCAGTGAACCGGAAACTGAGGGTGTGGCTGCCTGGAGCCCGCCTCTGACTCCTGACTCCTCCGGGCCTGCCAGGGCTTGGGTAGCTCGGCCATGACTCATTCATGTGCTCCTAGCCTTTCCCCCACACACACCTTACAGGCGTGCACATTCCACTAAAGGGAGCCCATGACTCGAAGTCCAAACAAGGGGAGAGATCCTTATGCTAAGAAGAGGCAGAGAGCACTTCTGCTCTAGTTCTTTAAAGACCCCTGCAAGTCTCCTGCAGATCAGCAGCATTAAGTCTGGGGAGGTGCCGCATGGGGGGCCTCTACGTCTGTGAGCATGGTGGGTCCTGAACTTCCCAGAAGAGTACAGTTTTAGGCATTCTCTCTCCAAGTTCCTGGATATACCTACTGCTTGTCCAGTCACAAGTCTCAGTTCAGAAAATCTGGTCCAACAAACTACCCTGTAGGGGGCTTACGTCTCAGAGGGTGCCCTTAGAGTCTCACACATCTCATGGAGGGCACAGCTACTACACCAACCCCTCCCTTGTCTAGGGATCAAAGGCTAGAGGGGAGCCATGCGGCACCGTCATGGTGAAGGCTTCTCTGTCCGTTTCCTTCCCTCTCC